CCTCCTCTTACGCCGACGGGCATGATGACATCCTGGCCGTTTCTGAAGTTAAGCTCGAGGGGCCGCTTTTACGGTTTAAGGGCTCTCAACACCAGCCTTTGTGCTCAACAGACCGTCCTGGCTTGGACCAAGGCCTGCTGCTGCCTGCCCCTCTCACCCACAGGCAGGAGTTTGCCCTTGGCCTGTGGACACGGGGAATTTTGAACTCCACTATGTTACTTGGACCCCTTCAGACCCGAGTTTAAAACGTTTCAATTTGTTATGATGTGGGGCTATACAAGCAAACACACCCTGTACACGAGCAGAGCATCCACATGAGACAATGTGTCACCACCACCCTCGACGTTTACAGAAAGGGAGGCAGAGAAAACACAAATGCAACCATGTGCCGAGACCTCATTCAAAGCAGGGAGCTAACGCTGGGAGAGGTCCTGGCTGCCACACTGTCCCCCTGCTCTTGTTATAGCAACGAAACGTGTCCTGAGCAACGTGTCGCTAGGCAATGTCATCGTCGTGTGAGCACCATACACCAGAGCGCTACTCAGCTGCTAGGGGTGCTGCTGCGGGGCCGCCCTCGCCCTCAGGGGACGGTGCTCTCTCGTGGGCACCGGCACCAGCACCAGCGGCTCCTGGCGGAGGACGGAGTGACCCGGGAACTTCAGCCCACGGTCACGGCTGGACCCGGCTACCAGACGGCTGAGAGCAACCAGCTGCCAGCTCCACGGGGCCCAGCCCAGCCCAGGTTCATTTCACCGCCTGCGCCTGGCCCTCACCAGCTGCCCTCTGCCCCAGGCAGCTCCCAGCACCACGGAGGATGTGGTCCCCATGGCAGGCCCCACGCGGGGACACGCCTCCAGCCCGAGGTCAGCATCCTCTCCAGCTGCACAAGAGGCTTTGAAAAATCCAAACGTTCACCTTTTCCTAAACCTCAGGTGAACCGGGTCGGTGTGAACGGGCGGGCGGCATGACTGGGCTGCACACAGAAACCTACTCAGCGAACAGTCGTGGCGAGGGGACGGCCACGGGGAGGCAGGGCACGAGCAAGCCAGTACCTCTAAGCGCGTCTGCGGCCCATACGCGTCCCAGATCTTCCTTCTTCGGACATCAACCCCTCTGCCTGGATGCTGAGAGTATCAGAAAACGCAGGTTAAGTTCTGTCACCAAAACAGATGAGCAAGGACGAGTGACAGCCTGCAGTACGGCCATAAGCGGAAAGCACAGGGACCCGCGCAAAACCTGGATGTGACAGCTCAGTTTCTCAGAACGTACAGACGCACCCCGGCCAGGCACCGGCGGCTCCTGCTGTGGCTTTAGCAAGGGGACAGGGTGGGGGTAAAGGAGCAGTGCTGTTGGCTCAGCAAGGGGGTGGGGTTGGGGGTGAAGGAGCAGTGCTACTGGCCAGCAAGGGG